AGGTCACCCTTTCTCAAATGTGGTTGTTTCTGTAACTGTCCCTTGCTTGCCTTTCTTTCTAGTTTCTGGTGAACCAGACTAATTTGCCAGTAGCAGGTTGTCTTTATGTTCGCATTTCTTCCTTTTTCAATTATGCTGAGCCATTTCATTTTCTCTTAATAGTGTATATAGTCAGAGTTAATTATAGTTCCAGAGACTTCTACTAGAGGGTATGCATGGGCAACATGTTCAACGACTTCCTGCCAAAATTTAAGCAGGTTTCAGTCCAAATGAAACGGCTAATTCCAGATTTCCATGGAGTTGTTATCCCCCTTCCTCAAAGATACCTGACCCTAGCGTTGAGTTGTTAAATGTCTTAGGACTTTAGAAGGTAAAATAGCTGCCTCTGAAATCATGTTTGTTTTACAATTTTGAGTGTCTAGGACACTTGCTTTGATGAAAGGGTTTTCACCCAAATCCCACGAAAGTATCATAAATAAAATAATTTAGATCATAATGAAAACTTTTTGTTGTAGGCATGCATATTAACCCATCACATCAATTCAGACTTTTAAAACTTTTGTGTGTGGGATTTCTTTTTAAAAGCCTACTCCCTCTAAAAAACAGGATAAGCTGAATTATAAGAGTTTTTTCAAGCACAGTGCCAATTGAATAAAAAGTTTTCCTGTGCACTGAATGGTGAGTCGCTTTAACCACCAGCCTCTGACTAGAGTAAGTGTTGGGCAGTGGTTTATTAATAGCGCTACACACACTCACTTTAGCACAGTAGAGCTTTGTTAAAACACATCAGCTACACATGGTAGGATATAAATTGCCCAAATTTAATGAATCGCTAAAATTCTGTTTAGAGCTTTTAAAGCAAGTTTTAATGTGCTGCTACCACTATTAATGAGCTCTATGCAGAGAACATTTAATGAATCGCTAAAATTCTGTTTAGAGCTTTTAAAGCAAGTTTTAATGTGCTGCTACCACTATTAATGAGCTCTATTTGCAGAGAACATTAATTAAATGAAGACAGTGATTAATTAATGCGCCTCTTAATTCTGATTTTTGCCAATTTACAGTTAAAGTCATTATTTTATTGCATTTCGTGACTCAATTAACCATTGCAAAGTAAGCCTAGTAAGAAAAAAGAAATCACTTATAAATAAATGGTAGCACAAAGTAAGATAAAATAGTAAGCATAGCAAAAATAACTCATTTTCATGCCACGTAACTTTTTGTAACACTTTATTGATTTAGTCATCTTCAAGTTATAGGAAAACTTTACTTTTAAAACTTTTGCTATTTTAATGAGTACTTTCTACAAATTTTTTAGTTTTAAAGGTAGAGGGCTGGGGATGTAGCTCAGTGGTGCCACACCTGCCTGGCAAGTGCAGAGTCCTCAGTTTGATCCCTGTGTTAAAAAAAAAAAAAAAAAAAAAGGTAGAAACTGTGGTCACAAGCAGCGAGGAGGAACATTTTCTACAACTGAAATGGACACAAAAACTAACTTGAAGTAATGTCACAGAGAATATTCTGGAATCGGTAGACTATCATACATTTGAGATCAAATAATTGGATTTGTGAAATTATCATTATATACTGAACATCTTAAACACACTTTGCCAAGTTTCTATACGCTTTACAGATGCTAATGAAGTTCGGTGTGACATTATATCATCTCTTTGAAGTACGCGGGAGGCCACTTATACGATTAAGTTAAAGAGAACGTGAGTATCTGTTAGCCGACTATAAAGTATGGGGAAAGTCAGCTGTGTAGTTGTGAATGAGTGTGAGAAGCAGAGACAGTAACTTTGAACCTCACTGAAATACAAAATACAACTATTAGACCTTTGCTTTCTCAGACCGCTGAGGAAAGAATTATTTGCAAAAATATCATCATCAAATAGAAAAAATATGAGCTGAGACCTGGGCCTTAGAGTGGCCTGTTGGGTTCCCTGGGATGATTACAGGTTCCAGAATCCTTGCTGTGTGCGCCAGGGTGTTTTTGTGGCCAGGATGTTCAGCGATGTGTCTAGCTCTGGTCACATGCTACAGTCCCCGGGGCGCATTCGGTAAACATTTTCCCAGAGCACACCGGAGAGTCCCTAAGGATAGGGCTCATGTTTCTGTATTTTAAAAAATTACCTTCCTACTCCACTGATTTTAATGCTTAGTGACTAAGAGTTGAATAATCGCGGGAAACCATTTGCTTTCACCCTTGGTGCTGCTAACTTTGGCGTGGTATTTAAATGGCCTTCACATGTGAGTCTCGTATTCCAATGTCCAGATGTAGAAGAGAGGTCAGAGGAAATCACGGAAGCGTACCATTCTGCTAGAAACAGGAAAGAAGCACACACTGACTGTACTGAATAATGAAATCACATTCTAAAATTAAAGAGATCAAAGGCTCAATCTTCTTATTTTTTATTATAAAAATTTGAATTTCTGAAAGGTCTATTTTATTTTTAAAGAGGATGATGCATTAGGTCAATCAGGAACACGGTCAAGCAAGGGGTCAGAGGGCCCGTCACAAGCCTACGTTGTTCCAAGCTGTGTCCCCAACACCCATAGAGGACCTGACCCATTTCAGGCACTCAGTGAACTATTTGTGAATGAAGAAAGGAGTCTGTATTGAGAAAGTAGTCAGGGAAAGACAAGAGTCCCTCTTTCGGAACGCATGGGTGCTCTTTGATTTTACAAGTGATAATGTATTATTAGTTACTAGCGCTGTGTGATATGATGGCGCTCCGGATGTTCTTTTTAAGAATTGCAAACACACTGTCACACACCTAGGAAGTGGCTGCCCCATCGGTCACTCTCACACTTAAGCACTTTGCTAACCAGCTCTCTGTGCCTGACCTGAGAGACGTGGAGAAGGCGAAAACCAAGAGCGGTGCAGCCCCATCCTCAGCAAAGTCGTCAGCTTTCTTATCTACCTCATGCTAGGCACCTAATAAAGGAACGTGACGTGTCAGAGGGCCTCTCTGAATATTCATGCCCCCTCTGTTTGTTCACGTTGACCATTTTTGGCAAACAGTGGGGTGTTTTATTTCTATTTAAATGTTATTTATGTTATAAATGTTATTATTTATTATGTTATTCTAGGGCTCTGTCTTATCCTTAGTGATATAATTCAAGTAATTTTCTACATCAGGACTGAACTTTTTCCCTTCATTTTTCTTCCTGACAAGAAGTTTGGAAATATTCATGTACTGACCGCTACACAGCTATTCCTCTGCTGATGGCTTTTCTGTAGTTGCTGTGTTGTGTAGACCATATTTGAATCTTTCTGTAGTATGAATTTGTAGCAATTCCATATACTTAAAACACATTTAATTGCTTGATCTGATACCAGACTGCCCTCCAAAAAACCTTATGCAGATTTATCCCACTCAAATAATAGTGTGTGATAATGCTCACTCGTACATCCTCACGAGGCTGGGTACCATTAAACATTTTCTTTCTTTTGTTAAATCATATTTTATGGGAAAAATGATGATTTATTCTTATTTTATATTAATATCTGTGCAACTCCTTAACACTGGACTCAAATCTAAAATGTATAATATTTCAATCTAAATAGCAGTTAATATAATCTTTAAAACATATCAAACTGTTCTGCTTCTATTTATGTTTCTATGTTAAAATATAATTTTAATAGTTAACTCTCAAACTTTTCCTAAGTATTATAAATTTAGATAACATTTGTATGAATTTTTAATGTCTTTATAATGCTTTACTAACATAATCATGTGGCAGTGGAAAACTTTGTACTGTTTTTTTTCTTCTCTTTATGAATAATTTATTAAAATTAATTTTAGGCTGGGAGCGGTGGTGCACGCCTATAATCCCAGCACTTGGGAGGCTGAGGCGGGAGGATTGCTATGAGTTCAAGACCATACTGGCTACATAGTGAGTTCTAGGTCAGTCTCAACTACATAGTAAGACCCTGTCTCAAACAAACAAACAAACAAGCATACAAAACCCCCCAATTTTAGATAGTGCTATCACTGGGTCAAATGTTCTAACCCTTTATGTTCTTGATAAGAATTGTTAAATTGGGGCTGGGAGTGCTGCTCAGTGGCACCATGCCTGCCTGGCAAGCGTAAGGTCCTGAGTTTGAACCCCAGTACCACACACACACAAAAAAAAAAAAAAAAAAAAGAAAGAAAAAACAATTGCTAAATTGCTTTATGTATAGTATGTGGATTTGGCATTTCATAATGTGTATACACTTCAAAACACCCTGTTATACATGATGGAATATACTACATTTGTCGTTTGAATGAATGAATGGTGAATGTATTAATAAACAAAAGGATGATAGATAAATAGCTTTCCAAACATCTCAAATTAATTTGTATGACCATTAAGAGTATATTGGGCTGGGGATTTAGCTCAGTGGTTTTGATGCCTGCCTCGCAAGTGGAAGGTCCCAAATTACCAAAGGAAAAAACAAAAAGAGTGTATTGCCTTAACAGATTTTTGACTCATTTTCTGAAATATGGTAGATTTGTTATTTTAAGTTTAAAAACCCATATATTTGCTTTCATAAATTTTAATTGGTAGACTATACACAGAGAAGATGAGATATGTCTTTTATATTTTCCGTTAAAATATTTTATTTATAATGCTAACAAATAACAGGATACAGAAAGAAATGTAATTTAAATATATACAATCACATACACCTCAACAGTAGTTAATTTTGATTTTCTTCTTCATACTTGTTTTGTTTTTTTCCTAATTAATCTCAGTGATCAAAACACTAAGATGGAATGTCCTGCACATATTCTTTTTGTTTGTTTGTTTGTTTTTTGTTTTTTTTTTTTGAGACAGGGTCTCACTGTGTAGTTGAGACTGACCTGGAACTCACTGTGTAGCCCAGGCTGGTCTCAAACTCACAGCGATCCTCCTGCCTCAGTCTCCTGAGTGCTGGGATTATAGGCATGCACCACCATGCCTGGCTACCTCCACATATTCTTGAGATCAAAAGATCTGTCTCTTTCTTTTAGGAAATTTACCAGTGGTGCGGTTCCTCATGCAACAAATATGAGCGTCTGAAAGCAAGCCAGGTTGCCATTGGCATTCGAGACAACGAGAGGAAAGGAAGATCTCAGCTCACTGTGGTGGAAGAAGGAAGTGAACCTTCAGAGCTTATTCAGGTACTGAGACTTGTAATGTTTGTGAAACTCCAAGCTGTGCCCATACACAAGTGTGGTGTGTGTGTGTGTGTGTGTGTCCGAGAGAGTGAGAGAGAGAGAGAGAGAGAGAGAGCGCACATTTTTCTAGTACTGAGCCTATGCTAGATTACATGAGGGGCAACATCAGGATTGTCTAAGTCACAGTTCTGAGGAATTGGAAAGCCATGCCTGTTTCTCTCACCATCTGACTATGGAAGGAAACCCTGACTGGCTTCTGGGGGCTATGAGGACAAACTCATGGGTAACACTTTTGATCAGCTATGAGATATATTTTGGAAGCAAGATAATATTTCACTCATTTGGTTTTCTTCAGTTTAAACATTAACAGCTGTTTCATCAAAGGCATGAAATAAAATCTAACACCAAGATATTAAATGCACAAATATTTTAAATAATTCAATCAAGCCAAGAAGCTTATCTTATAGACAAGGCACTTATACTTTTCTATAGTTCTTAAAGTAATGTGAAAATTACCTTTCTTTAGTTCTATAGACCTATATCATTTACCAATCTTGGGCAATGCGTTGTGACCAGTCTTTTCCTTTTAAGAAAATTGCATTGAGGCTGGGTGTGGTGGCGCAAGCCTGTAATCCCAGCACTCGGGAGGTTGAGGCAGGAGGATCGCTGTGAGTTGAGACCAGCCTGGGCTACATAGTGAGTTCCAGGTCAGTCTCACTATATAGTGAGACCCTGTCTCAAAACAATCAAACAAACAAAAATAAATTTAAAAAAATGAGACTTTGAAAATTCTTCAAAACAAATTAATATTCTTTTGGGGTCCCTTAAATGTAACTAACCATTTATGTTTTCTAACTTGCATGTTTGGAAGCAAGACGCATTTCTTTCTCCTCCTCTCCCACCTCCACTTTCTTCCCTCCCTCCTTTATTTTTTTTTGTGGTACTAGAGATTAAATCCAGGGAGTGCTGAGCTACGTCTCCAGGCCTTTTTTTTTTTATTTTTATTTTGAGACAGCATCTCCCTAAATTGTCCAGGTTGACCTCGAATTTGTAATCCTCCTGTCTCAGCCTCTCTAATGGATGGTAACTGCTTGTTTTAGCAGCCATAGGGCAGCTCCCTTTATCCATAGAGGATGCTTTCCAACATCCGTACTAGGAGTCTGAAACCATGAACGGAAACAACCCTTTATATTTCATGTTTTTTCTGACATATACACATCTACGATAAAGTTCAATTTGCAAATTACTAAGGTAAGAGATTAATGATAATAAAAGAGAACAGTTATAACAATACACTGTAATAACTCTTGAAGCCTGTTTCTTGAAGTGAGGCCACTTGGGTGGAGGGGCTGAGCTGTGTGTGCCCATCTCTGGGGACCTTGCTTATGGATCTTATTCAGAGCTGTGAAAAATAAGATGGAAACGTCAATCAATACATTATACTATATTTTTAAATTAAAATTTTATAAGAGGATCAAGAGATGGAGAGAGGGGCAGGGGAAGTAAGAAGAATGAAGATGTACCTGTGCCAATCTCCCATGCTGAATGTAATCATTATGTACTGTAAACAGGGACTGATAAAAAATTTAACAAAGGGGAATAGGAAAAACGTGTAAAAGCAGAACTTTAAAAATATTAGAGATAGTAGTGAAGGGACCTAGTACTTCAGTGTCCTATGTAGCAGGGACTTCTTGTTTTGGGCTTTAAAAAATCTTACCAAGCATCTACCATGTTTTCATTTAGTCATTCAGGGTTGCATTATGTTTGGCAGTTCTTGCTCACACAGTGAACTCAAACACATTTTCAGGGAGTGACTTCTTTAGGTAAGAGAAAGAAGCACTCTGGCCTTTTCGCTGTTGTAAATGTTTGGTAGCCTGATTACAGAGGTATGAGGTTATTTGATGAATTAACCTAGGGTCAACTAATTGGACTTCTAGGTTTTCTTAGCGCTTTAAGTCTAAGGCTAGAATTCAAAGAAGTCCCAAGTGGGAAAAATGACAACTTTATTTTCATACATTTTAAAAGTATAATATGGCATGTCCTCCAATTTCAAATGTAATAATAATAATAAAAAAACTCCACCAGACTTTTCAGATCACAATTTAGTGTTTTTTTTTTTTTTTGAATCACAATCTAGTTACTGTAGATAAACTCAAAATATTTAGGCTCATTGATACTTGGTAATTTATCACTACTATTATTCATTTATTTATTTTTTTGGTGGAACTGGGGATTAAACTTAGGTTCTTGCACTTGCCAGGCAGGCACAGTGCCACTGAGCTATAGCCCCAGCCCTATTTATCATGATTATTAAATCTGCTACTCAATAATATTATTTGACAAGTTAACTCATATATTACTTTATTAAGTTTCTTAAAAATGTGTTTTGATACTTGTATTCCAGTATAGTTGGTTTCTACTGTTCATACTTTCTATTTTCTTTTGTGCATTTAAAGATATTTTTCTTTCTTTTTTTAAATTGAGTTTATTGGTACATGTTAGGTATACAGTACAGTTACATTCATTGTTGGGATCTTGTACCTCTACATGACAGGTCTTGGTTCTCATTTTCCCCTTACCCCTGCCCTCCCTTCACCCCCTCCTCCCCTCCCCATTTACAAACATTTAATTTCCGAAAGATATGTTTCTTTAAAGGGAGTCCCCGGAGGCTTCACAAGTGGTCCACAGTGTGTACTTATACCCACTACATACACTCACACACAGCGTCCTTGTTTAAGGCAGTGAAATTTTATTTTTTTTCTGAGACTTTAGATAACTGATGATTTTGCTAGAAAAGTCTAAAACTCCAAACATCTTTCCAAATTTTTTAAAAATTTGGACTTTCAAGTGATTAGTAATGAGGATCTTTTAATAGCATTAAAAAAAGAAAAACCTTGAAAATCCACATGTATTAGTAATGGCTTGAAATCAAGGATTTTTCAGGATCACCTTGAACTCAGTACATAGCTCAGGGTGGTCTGGAACTCACTGGGATTCTCCTGTTTCAGCATCTGGAGTGCTGAGATTACAGGCGTGAGCCCTCATACCTAGCCTCAAGTTCTTTTCAACCAAGTAAGTGATCCAGTTGTCCCCACTGTGTATTCAGTGGTGAATGTTTCAGTATGTCTTTCTAGCACATTAACATCTTGCGTATATTGAGTACTGAAAATACTGAAAAATGATCAATGTATTAAAAACAATTTTCAAAGAGATTTTTGAAAAATTTATCTTTAATTTGAGGCATTTAAGCTGTGTATTGATCATATTATTATTTTCACATGATCTTAGTATGGTTTACCTTTGGGGTTTCTATAAATTTACCCTTCAAACTCAAACACTTCATAAAGTGAAACCAGCACGAATGGGCTAGGACTCAGAAACAACAGACACTAATAAGACTGTGTGGGTAAAGAGGATGTGAGACCACCTCTGAACTGTACCTTTAGCCCTTCCACAAACTGAAAATAATCCTGTTCAGGGTATTGAACTAAAGCCTTTAAAGTCATATTTCACTCTGTGCTTCTTTTCTTTGCTCTACACATATTTACCATGAAATTTTGCACATGAATTATGTAAAACCCTCTTGAAGTCTTTCTTTTTATATTTAAACCCATCAATGAATGTAAGGGAAAGTTAAATATCTCATTAGCCCTAAGGTCCCAAACTTTATTCTTTTGTTGTTGTTATTTTGTTGGTACCAGGATCAAACTCAGGACCTTGTGCTTGCAGGGCAGGCTGGGTGTGTCTGAGCTAAATCCCCGGCCCCCAAAACTTTATTCTTTAAACATTAGCCGGGAAGCTGAAAAATCCCCTAAGGAAAAAGAAATTTATCTCATAGATTTTCAGTTTTTAGAAGAGAATAAAGATGGGGCCAGTTGATTATAACTGTAACAAAAAACTAATTTTCCTAATCTGGAAAGACTTTAAAAAATAAAATGAACTTGCTAAGGGTATAATCAATGTAGATGGTGATGACAGGTACTGGCACCAAAAGACCACAGGGAGGTGGTGAGCAGATGTCGTGCTGCTGAGTCATTAGGTTTCTTGCTGTTATGAAAACACTTGTATGTTTCCCTGAAGAGTTATGTGTGAAGTCATGTTTCAGAGTGTCCATGAAAACAAAATAGAAGGAAAGTTAGAGTATCAGGTCGTATCTGAATTAGTGCTTATTGAGCACTGGATTAGTTCCCAATCAAGTGGAAAGTCTCTGCTTATTTTGTCAGGCTGAGAAGCTAAAAGTGCAGTAGAAAAATAGAGTAATAGAGTGAGGACAGATAGCGAGGTTGTTGTCGGGTGGCCTTTAAAAAATGGCTCACCAATTAAAAGTATTGCAGGTCCTTCTAGCCTCAAACAAAGAATTGGATGAGATGAACCGAAAACGGAGCCAAAAATTTATTTGAAAAATGAAGGGCGAAGAAGGAAAGGGAAGAAGTGATTAAGCAGAGTGAACATTGGCCCCCCCCCAAAAAAAAAGAAAAACAAAAAGGAAAAGAGAAAAAGAGAAAAAATTAAAGCGCACTGTGTCTGGGAGATTGTAGCCTGGGCTGCTGTGAGAAGTCAGAATAGAGGGACCCTCGGGAATCTGGTCTCCTTTAAGTCCTCATCTCCCGGGAGCCTGGGAGGCGTTCTTCATCCCGGTCCTGAGCGTCATCTGGGATGCCTGGGAAATTGCAAATCACAGGTCCCTCCCGCTTCTGCAGCCAGCTGTCTCCCATGACCCTATCGCTAGATAGTGTCAGAGCGGGTCCCCCAAAGACATGGGACCTCAGTTTACCCCACTCGTGGGATGGGTGTAGTAGGATCACTGATTTCTGACAAAGAAAAGGAATTTGCAAGACGCATCAGTGAGAGGCGTAAAGAGGGTTCTGGAGTTGAGGTTTTTATGTGGTCGTGGGGGTGTTTCCTAAGATGAGTGATCTCGGAAGTGTATTCAGTCTGCTTGTCAGGCCACCTACTGGGTGAGCCAGGTTAGGATGCAGACCGATTGCAGTTTAGCACTACGC